ACGCACCAGTGTGCATGTGCGAATTCCTGCCTGTTTAGGCCTTCAACACATACTACCAAGGAGCCTAGAGCCACCACTGATCCTAGTACGTTAAGCGATAAAGCTCTCCTCAGTGATTACCATAAGGCGCAGTACCGGGGTGTGAGATTGTGCTTCCTTGCCAGATCTTGCCAGGTCATAACGCATCGTAAACATACTTAAAAGAGCAGTCATAACGGTCGCCCGGAGACCTTGTTCAGGATTTTCCAGCCCACTAGTTAGAAATAGCCAGAGCTAAACGTCATCCAGTGTTTCTAACTGTAGTTTTCACTATTGGTCGTGTCTCGGTGGCTTGACGATCGAGCGCTGCAATCCGAATCCAGTGGTTCGGGTTCAACCTCTGCCGGGGCCACGGTTTTGTGTTTTTGGACAAGATTTTTTACTTCCAAAGTGGCTCTTTCCACTCAGAAGTAGAAATGGGTATCGTCGAATCATTCGGACAACCTGGCAGAAACCTCGGGAATTACTTTCGATGGATCACAGTCCTATCCAAAGGAGGGGCCGTATCTATCTAAGAAAAAAGTGTATCAATTTCATTTCTCCGTACATGTTTAGGTGACCCGGTTGACGTCGCAGTTCCAATAGTCGCTAGTGTTGCTGGAGTCCTTGGTCTTGTCATTGTCCCAATTATCATCTGGAGATTGCTTATTAGAAGACCACAAAATAACGAGAGGCAACATCTCTTGGATCAAGACGATGGAAACCGTAGAATCGACGAAAGTGAAAACCATTTCTCTGGTGGAAGCGAAGCAAGTGAATTAACTTTGGGAAGAGGTTCTTCAAGTTCAGCAAATACTTCGTCAACATCGGGCTCATCGTGCAGCGACATCACAGAGACTAATAAGAATAGTTTCAATAACAAGACCAATAGGAATGCGGAAGGTCACTGCTAAACACATCATGAGTCCCGAAGAAAAGAGTACATGGCTGCTACTATCAACAATTATTTTTGTTGCATTAACCTCATCAGGACGAGGATTTTAGTAACAAAGTATCTTACCTATCTTCTTTTAATTGTAAATAGATTTCATTAGCTAGCCAAATTTGACCACGACACCTTAAATATGGACCACTAAATAAAGTCAAATTGAAGAAGAAAGAGATAATGATTTGTTGGTCAAAGATACTTAAAATTGTTTAAATTCTCTAGATTTTTTTCCAATGCAGTCGATAAAAAAAGAATTTTCTTCAGAATGTCATTCGGTTCTGCCTCCGGACCATGGTCGATGATGGTCGCACGCACAGATTGTCATAACCAATGAATACTGGTATACAATCTGCTACCTAGTAATTTCTGACCACTGTTTACTTACCCCGCGGCAAGGGCCTAGTTTAGTTTATTTCGGGCGCTTGGCTTAAACGACCCCACC